CCTCATGGGCATATGCCCAGTCAAACAGGCTTGAATTAAAGCAGGGTTGCTGAGGCCCAAAAGCTTGCCACAAGTCTAAGGCACCTTCTGTTAGGGACCCACAAGGAAAGGGTTAGGCAGTGCCAAGAGAACTGGGATAGCAGAAGAAAACTCAAAATATGAAACATCACAATAACAGCTGCCATTGTCTGCCAAGGATGCGGAACAGTCTCCCCACTTGTCTCTCACTCACATGTCTCAACCAAGCATCTCTTATAAGGCCTCTACATGTCTCTTCTCCACATTTCTCCTCCAAGTCTGCCCTCAGCAATACCAGGGTACATGGCAAACCGGGAAAGCAAGAGACTAAGAGCATGCGTGTGTTCAGTTATAAGTCAAGCATGGGACCTCCCTGGTAGCGCAAGGGGTTGAGACGCAACTTATGAAGCTGTCTGCAACCACTGCAGCATGACTTTGATCCCCAGCCAGGGAAGTGACCCACATGGCACAGCAGACCTCTCCTGACTTACCTGCTTCTCCCCTCAGCAGTGTGTTTCAGTCAATCTGCCTGTTCTGTTCCACACTCTGTCTCTGGTGAATCACCCCCCCACACCTCTGGCCTATACCCCAGTTCTTATACGCATAAATAAGTAAATCTTTTTTTAAAAATGTCAAGCATGGCTGCTTAATTCTCCCTGTAGTTCCCAGTGACCCCTACCCTCCCATTCAGGAATTCAAATTCATGGCATGCTGGAAATTATAGTCCTTGGCACCTGAGAGCTCTTCAGACGGGGGTGGAGTCTGTTAAAACACAATGGGTGTAGTTCATTCAGAACATCATTCATGGTTTCCTTTCTGTTTCCTCCTCTAACACTTCTTCCAGATATACCATACTGTCATTAAGAGGGATCAGGCATTAACTTAAAAATAAGATATAAAAAATATGTTCACAAGACTTTAAAGTCTATGAACAACTCATTTCTCTATTATCTCATTTGAGCCTCAACACTGTGGTGCCTGCTGTGAATCAAACAGACTCTGTCTTATCTCTAACTGCGTTTTGAGACCTCTGGGTGAATTAGGGAGGCTGCCTGACTCAGCAAATGGCAACTACAAAGCAAAAGGAGACATCTGCTGATTGTTTCAAAAGAGCCTATTCTGCAACATTCTGCCAGAAGACTTTTGTCAATCAATGGTAAAAAGACAAACTTAAGAACCAACCCAAAAGTTTCAAAACAGATGACCTAAGCTCAGACCACATCCCTGCTTGACTCCTAAATATTTCCCTATGCCCTCACCCTGGTGGAACATACTTTGGAATTGCTCCTTGATTGTAACCCCAGATCATGATTCCTATTCTGAATAAACACTTATATTACAGCCTGGTTACTTCTCTGTTAAAGCTGACACTTGGAAGGGTTAAGTGACTTGCTCAAGTCCACCTACCCAGGCAAAAGAGTCAGCCCTGGAGACCAACTCCTCTGACTGCTGGTCTTGTAGGTCTTGTTAGTCCTGCCTTCCATTAAACAGGCTGATTACCAAGGAATGAAGCAAATCTTTCCACCACCTCTGGCTGCTGAGTGATCAACCTGAAAAGGGCAGTCCAACTGGCAATATACTCCAAGTTATTCACATGCTCTAATCTACTAATATCAACACTATAATTAAGTTTACTTTTAGAAAATTCCTGAAACAGGAAACCAACCAAGAGCCAGATGTTCCAGCTAACTTTTTTTTCTTATTTGGTGCTCTGAAATAGCTCATTACTACACATTTAATCGTTAATATGCAATTAACATGAGTGGGTGGTTCACTCAGATAAAGTCACTAGATAAACTGTTTTTCAATACAAAGTTTTTCAATACATAGTATTGATCATTTCTTATATTTACAATAAAGAGTTGTAGCATAGTGGTCAAGGGAGGTTCAAATCATGGCTTTTTTACTAGCGATGTAGCCTTGGGCCATAGTCTTCATCATACAATGGATATTAAATTATACAGCTACATCACAGAGTTGCTAAGAGAATTAAATGTGGTAATACCAACATAGGACCTAAACTCATACCACACATACAATAAGCACACTATTATGAAGTAAAACTGTATCAAGCACAAAGTAAGAACAATAATTATAAATGTTAAGTAGTATTAGCATAATTATTTCTACAAAGGGGTGTCAGATTATTCTCATTATACAAATAAGGAGACTGAGACTTAAGTCAGTGATTTTCCTAACACCACAAAGTTTTAAGTGACCTTAGGGGAATATATTTGCCAAGACCTTATTAAAGATGAGAGAGGAGGAGGAATAACAGGCTAGCTGGGCAAAAGGGACTTCTGAGGGACCATGGGAGAAGGTTCCAAGCTGAATGGCATCAAATTCACACTTTTTTAATAGTGACTAGTCTGGGCCAAGCTGCTTACCTGAAGTGGTTTGTGTTTTCCTCAAAGCATGACAACCACAGAAGAATCTTATCAAACAGAAAACCACTGTTAAGACTTACTAAAATAAGCTCTAAGTGGAAAGTCTTTGTGTCTAAGTCTCTACCGTGTCACAAAATAAAACTGTTTAAATTTGAAAGAATGCCAGTGATAGGCATAATAGGCATACGGCCTTCTTAGCAGATCTGTAAGGAAGAGGTCCTTAAGGAAGAAGACTCTTAGCTGATAGTAAGAAAAAATTCAGCTTATTTATGTATGGTGTTGTCATTACTGTTGTCTTCATTTCCAATCCATCTTGGACTAATCAATACTTAGTCCAATGATACAAGTCTACTGGTTTCTGGTTTAACAACAGTGAAGTATCCACTTCTTTATTCTCAATTTCTGTTCTTATCTCTTCCAACAGTTTGTGTATTGGCATCTGCTTCTCATATTTTGAGTAGTATTTGTATAAATAGAAAGATTTATCATCATCCTCATGAGAAATTCAAAAGTAGTCCCAGGGTTAACTTGGGGATCCCAGGTCATCATATTATTAAAAAAGATCCAGGCTTTTTTTTTATTATTATTATCCCATTTTGCCACCACAGGAATTCATTTCCTTCCTCAAGTTTGTAACCTCTGCCATAATCTTCCTCTTTACTCAACATTATCTAATGTTAGATAGGGAAGAATGAGGTGAAGGAACTTCTTCCTCAGGTGGTTCTATCTTCACTCAGAAAGAAATATCTTACTTTTATATCCTGTTTCCCAAGGATCCCCCACATCTACCCAAACTGCCACTATTCCAAATTTGCAAAGAAGAATGGGATCACTATGATTGAAAAAGACCAATGGGGATCCAAACTCTTGAGGTACAACAGCACACTGCCACCTGAACAAAGTCAGGGACTTTGGCAAAGAAGAGCAGGAATGGCTGTCCGTTAAGAAAGGAAATGTCTGCCACAGAGGTCTCAGCTCTGCCCAGATCAAAAGAGGTAGAAAATGTAGCAAGAAGGATGAAGGATTCACTCAAATTTCTCAATGTGATATAAACTTCATACCCACCAGAAACTTTCAGAATTCAGAAACTATCAGAACACAGATTTCCCTTTCATTATCTCCTGAGTAGGGTTTCTTAATTTCATAAACCTCCTTTTCCTTGTTTGTAAAGGGACATATTGCAATGAAACAGGAAGGGCCCAAGGACAGCAATAGGCTCGGGAATAGAGGACAAAATTCTTTTGCAAGAATTTTGCTGTTCCCATAGGCTGATAAACAAAAGGTTAAAAATCTGAGGACTCTAGGCCAGGACAGCTGGGGCCATGAATTTCTATGGCTTTTTGTTTTTTATATTTTTGTTTTGCTTTGTTTTTTTACCACTTCTGAGCTATCTTTCCACTGCTTATCAAGTTGCCTGCTATGGGGGAAGGAGGAACGAAAAGACCCAGAAGAAAAAGGGAGTCGCTGAAATTGAGAGCTGACCATTTCAACCTGGAGCTGTGGGCACACATGCAAGGGGAGCCCTGCATGACCGCACGACGCCCCCCAACCCCCAGCTGAAGCTGATTGGGGCTCACAACCAACCAAGTCCACTCGCCTTGTTTTTTCAGCCAATAAAGTTTAATTCCTATGTTCTCACAACCTGGTCCTAAAACCGGTGCAGACCTCCAGCCCCAGCCCCACTGGAGTCTCTCATGCCTAGGGAGGTCGTTCTGGAGCAGCTCTTTTCTTGAACTTTCACTAATCAATAGCCGCTGACTCCTCGCCATCCTGTACCGTGTCTGCCCAGGCCTCTTTTTAGTCCTGATCAGAGGGTCTCAGGAACCCATTTCCTGGCCTGGGTGCTGCACCCTTTGGTCCATCGTTGACTCCTGGTGGGTGGAGCAGCAGCTAGTGGCAGGTACGTTGCTAACTCAGTGGCTTTTTTGTGGGGAGATTGGGATCTTGCTAGCTGGACCACTGACGCTCCCTCATCTGGTGATAACAGGGCTTTCCTTCAGGGTGTGTTATGAGGGTAATAAGAAACTAGTAGAGGGGGCCTCCCTGGTGGTGCAAAGGGTTAAGATGCAACCTATGAAGCTATCCTCAACCTATGAAGCTATCCGCAGCCACTGCAGCGTGAATTCGATCCCCGGCCAGGGAGGAACCCACATGGCGCAGCAGACCTCTCCTGACTTGCCCGCTGTTCCCCTCAGCAGTGTTTCAGTCAGTCTGCCTGTTCTGTTCCCTGCTCTGTCTCTGGTGAATCCTCTCACCACCACACCCCCACCCCGCATCTCTGGCCTGTACCCCAATTCTTGTATGCATAAATAAATAAACCTTAAAAAAAAAGAAAGAAACTAGTAGAAAGCACACGACCAAGTCTTAAGCAAATCTTGCCTTACTATTATTGCTATGTGGTTATAGGGACTAATTTGGAGCGCCTATAAAACCAGGGTCACTGTTAAAAAATCATGAGACCTTGAAAATCTGGAAATAGATGGGGCAGTTTCTGCAGCTTATTTCCAAAAAATTACAATAAGGAAAGAGAGTGTGCAGAGAGAATTGGTGTGGGCAACACGCGCGGCTTTGGAGAGAAAACATCCAGGCACTCACTCAGAACCAGCAGAAATCCAAATCCATCTCAAAGTCCAGCAAACCCGACCGAAGCCAGCAGTGTAAAGTTGTGTACTTGATGGATCTGCCGCAGGTTCTTTGTCGTAATTACGTTCGCCACAAGCATTTCCAACACACAGCTTTTTGGCCGTAAAGCAATTTTGCCCTTAAAAAAAAAAAAAATAACGATCGCAAAAAATAAAGGCGGAGCATTAACTTAATGAAACATAATGAATCTTGAAAAATTGATTCTCCGCTATCCAAAAAGAAAAAAAAAACACCTCACCAATTCAATAAACTTGGACTCATTGGGAATAACATAACCATTCCTTTGGGGGGATAGAAGGAATTTGATTCTTCTTTTGCCTTCAAATCCTAATACTGCATCAGTTTGGTAAAGGTGGCATTTGAGAGCATGCTGTTGTATCTAAGGAAGCTAAAGAGTTGATCATTAGTGCTCTCGAAGCTCATTTATATTTGCCTTATCTTGGTAGACTTTTGGTTTTGAAAGGTAGAAGAGATGACTGTGCTCACTGAAGGAATTGCAAACTGATAAACTGTCGTTTTCTAGTCTAGTATGCAATCTGGCTTTACACTCTTTTTTCACACTTTTAATAAGTTTTTCTATCAAGTCAATATATAGTTTTTATCATCCACTATTTTAAGACAGGTAATGTCTACTGTATTCTGAAGACTAAGATTTATATCATGCAAAAATGGAAGCACTGTGCAGTTGAAACCAAATTCTCCAACTAAACTATCCACTGCAATATTGCCACAGCAAAATGGCCACAGCAAAATTGCCTCACCACCAATTATTTATGCAGTGAAAATGCTTGAAGCAAAGAACTTGCAGACAATCTACCCCGCACATGATGTGATGGGGCCCCTACATAGTTTTCTTCCCCTAAGTCACTTTGGGTGCCAATTCGAAGAGTTTGGAAAAGAGCTGTGAAGCAGCAGAGCTCTAAGTGAGTCCTTAGAGGTGGTGCTGAGTTGTGAGGCTGCACTGTCTGCCTGCCAATGAGCTACTCCAGGAAGCCAGAGACTCAGGAATGACCCAGAGGACCTTTCAAGAGCTGTTGACAGGAGCAAATGGGAGTAATTGTGGCCAGTAGAAAATGCCGCAGGGAGTCCCTGGATGCAGGAATAGAGAAAAGAATAGTCACCAGGAACTGGGCCGTTGTATCCCATCACTGAGGGCCATGATCCACAAAAGCTGGTGCCATCAATACCAATTCTAACAAGACAGAGCAGAAAACTGCCAGTGGAACTGATCCTCATTACTTGAAGCAACAGACTTTAGGTGAGACCTGGAATAGCTTACCACTCAGAATTCTCTGGCCTTCCCCACCATGGGTTTAGGGCATCACTGAATAATAAGTTGGAGAGGCAATAGCATGGACCTGAAGTCAAAGGACCTGGACTTAAGTTCTGGATCTTCCATTCTCTCACTTTGGGTAAGTCCCTTAAACCTCTAAGCTTTAGAAGAGTTAACAAGTCAATATATATGGGCGGGGGGGGGTGGTGGGTAGATGCTTTGTAACCTTAAGTGCCAAGAAAGTTTGAAACATTGCTATGATTTTTTCAATATATGCTTCAATGAAAAGGAAGTATCATTTTTATACAAGTTAACCTAAAGCAAATACAGCTCCAGAAAATATGAGTGGGGATCCAAGCCAGTTTTAAAAACCCCAATGGGAACCTAGCTGAAAGGTTGAGGTTTGGAGACTGAGTATCTCACTAGGAGATAGCATGGAAATTGAATTTGTGATCTCATGACCTTGGGCTTCTATGAAAATACAGTGCAAGTTTTCAGCTGCTTATTGTATTCGAAATCCCATTTTGTTTCAAATTAAAAAAAAAAAACACCTGAAAATTTCCTGAAGGATTTTTTGAAAGAAAATTTAAGTATAACATTACTGTGGTTGATCTTCTGTCAGTTTAGTCCCTTCCAAAGTTCTTTGAGGAGACCAGAAGGCAGCATATTTTAGTAGTGGGGAGAGAAGGACACATTACAAGATGCAACCACAGCTGCTGTATTGAGTCGGGATACCCTTTTGATACGTGCAGACTGGGGCCCTGGGAGGGCAGCCACCTCCCCTGCCCTTCACCACCAGTCTCCAGGATTTCCTGCACACATCAGAGAGGCACTGCCTCCCTTGCCTTGGGCACCGTCTTCTGTTTTGGCCACTGGTGGTGCTTCTGACAGATTCCATCTGCCTAGCCACTTTGAGTTTCCCCCGCACTGACATCTGGGATTCAAAACTATTCAATCTACAGTCAACAGAGCCTTCCTTCAAAAAAAGAGAGGAAAAAAGCAGTCAAGAGGTGAAAGAGTCCAAACTCTATCTAAAAGGAACCAGAGAAACAGCATTCTGTTTGTCTTGTTTCTTAAATAGAGCTTTCCATCCCCTGTGTGTTTATTCTATAATTAGAAAGTGTGTTGTAGAAAGGGTGTTATGATCACCCTCTAAAAATCTTGTTTTTGTAATACTGGATTTGTCATATGATATTAATTTGGGGGAAGGAAAAAAACAGGAAAGCAGCTAAAGCACAAAGAGTTCTGCAATACAGTACTACGGAGTTACAGAGAAGAGAGGAAGATCTTTGAATAAATAAGTAAATAAGGTGAAGATGTTATCTATTAATGTTTTCAGTCATAAACGTGATGAAATTGTCTGGTTTGAGTTCACATTGACTCTTTCTAGACTATTGCAACAGACTGAGCTGATTATCCTGCTTCCCAATTTTTCCCTCCTCAGGTTCACTCTCCAGACATCATTGATCTGAATTCCAAGTCTGATCATGCCCTCACTCTGTCAGAACCATTTAGTAGCCCCTCATCACCTGCAGAACTAAATCCTACTCCAAAACTTAGTGACTAAGATGCCTTTCCTCATTTTCTATTGAGGCAATACTCTCTCCCAAAGGTGATGTTTGGAAATGGTGGTGGTATCGTTACAGTTGTCAAAATGATAGGGGAGTTCTAGTGGCTTTTGGAAGGCTGGGACTGGGCAGCCACACTCCCTGAGATTACAAAGGAACATACCCCATCAATACTAATAGCAGATCCATTGAGTAACTCTGAGCCTAGCTTTTCAATTTCCCCTAATTTTAATTTCTACTCTTTATCACTTTGACTAGTCCGATCTCTAACCTTGACTGTGTTCACACTAATTTCCTTTTTTTTTTTTTTTTTTTTTGGTGGGACCCTCTCCTGGGGCCAGGGAACGAACCAGAGCTGCAGAGGCTGCGGGCAGCCTCACAGCCCAGCGCTCAACCCCTGCGCCACCAGGGGAGGCCCATTCACACTAATTTCTAATTTGATATGACCTTTCCAATTCACTCATCTTGCCCACCCTCAATCCTTCCAAACCCAGAGTAAACTCTTCTTCTCTTTCAATAATCAACTTTAATTTCTCCTATTTCTGTAGCCCTGTATCACTTAGCTTCTACCTCTGGGTTAAAAAAATAAAACCTCAGGGTCTTCCCTGGTGGCACTGGCGTTAAAGTCTCTCTAAGTGCTATCAAGCTATAGCCAGCCACTGCGGCATGAGTTCAATCCCCAGCCAAAGAGCTAACCCTTGTGGGCAGCAGACCTCTCTTGTCTCACCCACTGCTCCCCTTAGCAGTGTATTTCAGTAGAGCCATTTGTTCTGCTCCCTGCTCTGTCTCTGGTGAATCCTCTCATACCCCTCTTACAGGGGAAGGAGGGGAGACCCCGGAGCCCCCAAACCTGTCCCCTCTAAATAGGTTCTGTCATCCCCCACATCAAGACAAAATATATAAGACCTTTGATGGAAAGGAACAACACAGAAAAGACTAAAAATATAGTTTTTAAATTAAGTACTGAAAGTTACCCTCCCCGTGTGGGGAAAAGTCCAGCCAAACAGGATTGGCCCAAAGTAAGGCCCAAAAACCTGATACAAGTCTAAAGCACCTTCCAGCAGGAACCCATAGAAAAGGACCCAAGGACCCAAGAAATAACCAGACAAGTCTGGGAGGAAAAGAGTAAAATCAAAACCAAGTTAAAAGCTGCCATTGTTAACCTCCCCACGGGTCTCTCACCCACATCTATTCTAACCAGTCCAGGACCAAGAAGCAAGCTCAGCTTCTTCACATGTCTCTCTGCTCCATGTGTCTCCTTGTCAGTTCTGGGGTGCCCCTCTCCTTGCCCTGTAACATGCCCACACCTCTGGCCTACACCCCAGTTCTTTAAAAAAAAAATAAATAAAACCTCAAATGTGAACTTCTTCTTAGGAGCAAAACAGGTCCTTTACTATTTCCAAGGTTATTTCTGAGTTGCAAAAATTCCTTATTCCCTTTCCTATATTTCCCCACTCAGTCTGGGCTGCCAAAATTAGAGCAAAAACACAAGGACACTTTTTTGTTCCATCTATTGTGGAAACTTTATCAACACAGTACTTCTGCTTTAAATTAACTGTATTCTACATTATTTTATTGCCATTTTATTATTCTTATCTTCATGACCAAATAATACATTCTTTGAAGACAGGACTTGACCTATTCACCTTTAACTACCCAAACACTAAGAACTCACTTAGTGCCTGGTACTTAGATTTGTCAAATTTAATTGAATTAAAACTCACTACTTTTTTTATTTTTTAAAGATTTATTATTTATTTATGCATACAAGAACTGGGATGTAAGCTAGAGGTGTGTGTGTGTGGCAGGGGGCAGGGGTGTGTGAAAAGATTCACCAGAGACAGTGGAGAGCAGAAAAGGTGGCTTTAACCCCTGCACCAACAGGGAGGTACTCACTACTTCAATTATCTTTTTTCTATCAAATACATATATATATAGACACTCAGTTTTATTTTTTTAAAGGAGCTAGTGAATTTAATACAGAAAGTCTTAATTTGTTATTCTTCATGGGCAAAAATGTGTTTGAATAAATTGAAAAAAAATGGCTGGTTTCCTGCTTCTCCAACTTAGATCGGGTTAAAAATCCTTACAAAAGAAACAACCAAAAGAAACTGGGTCTTCCAAAAGTCATGAGGTGAAGAAAAATGTAATTATTTTGGTGTTGCCAGTGAAATATTTATATATATATATATATATATATATATATATATATATAACCTACCAAATGACTTAAACTTCACAAATTTCACTTGATTTAATTCAACTTTCAAAAAAATT